ATTCATTTCTCATCTTAACTACTATAGAATCTAGATCGTGGACGAATCTCACCACCTACGTTAAGCGCAAACACACTGTTTTTTGTTTGTTTGTTTTAACGGGAACTAGAGGCACATTTGCATTCTTCTAATGATCATAATCAAAGCACTTGTTTACCTGTTGCCGTCAGCAAAACAACCAACCGGATCTGAGTTCACCAATGTGCCCGAGTGAAACGTGAGAACAGTAGAACTCCCTTGGTGGCCAAACTATCTTGTTCTATCTTAACCCAGATGGAAAACAAACGATGGAATCTAACCCACTTTATAAAAAAATGGTAGTAAACTTGAGTATACCTGTTTGTAAACAAACTGCGTTCAAATGAGAATAGGAGAGGCAAAACTGATGGCTCTCTCTCCAGGTGATATGCATGAAGCGTCATTTGTGTCAAAGCAAACACAGCAAATTGTGTTTGCTCTTTCCCATATTCGGACTGTTGTTGTACTTCCTTACTCGAATGCATCAAAATTCCACTGCCTGCACCCAATGGGTGCTGCCTTGGGGTGTTGTGGTCTGTCAAACACCTTTCAGAAACCATATGAGTAGTGTTTCTTCGATTAGAAAAGCTAATTCCATCATTCATTTAAAAGGAGGACATTCCGTGCACCGATTGGCATTGGTTTTTAAAAATTTCGAATGATGTTGGACGGTCCCTTGGGGGGGGGGTACTAAAATAAAAATAAAAACACGAAGACATGAGAGAAGCTCCAAAATAATGAATAATATAATAATAATAATATAATAATAATAATATATTAACAGTTTCGTCTCTTCTCGTTGAAGTGATGGGTTCCAAGAGGACAATCCTGTGGCCGGGATTTGACCGATCCGGTCGGGGCCTTATCACATATGAACCAAAGTGTTTATGGTGTGAAGCGAAAGCATAACAACTGGATGAGCAGTCTGTCTGTGGGAAGAGAGCATTGCCAACCCGCCGTGAACTTGTGAGATACGAAGCTCACTGTGTTCATCGCACGACCTGCAGTTCCAGATACTAAAGAGGGTGTGGAATCAGTGTTTTTATTCATTTACCAGTCCAAGTGTCCCTTCCCTTGAATCACTTACATTTTGGAGTGGATAGTGGATGAAATCATATTCACTGATATGATGCGTCAGCTCCCATGCGTTTGTCCCATTTCTCTGTGTGTGAATGCAACTCAATGAATGGCGCGAGTGGAATCGCATACAAGGGACTGATACAGCACTTGTGGGTGTTTTAATTGAAATTCTCGGTGCATATGACTCCCGTGTGAATGCACGTTCAAAAGCTGTGGGTAAGATTGGGAAACGTTAATCGCGTCCTACACGTCGTTACCATACCATGCCGGTGGAATTCAAGTCTGCGCCTCACCCACGTCGCTCTAATTATCCAGACGAGAGTTATATGGAATTAGGTAACCCTGCAACCAGCTAGGGGTTTTGTCTTGCTTGTTTAACCTGTCCGTTGCCTACGGAGTTTGAAACCAGGAGTCCCACCACACACTCGTGTGCTTTATCCGCGGAGTTTCCAATTCCTGTATTTGAAAAAGTAAAAATAAATTCGATATTCGTTCAGCTGTAGCCTAGCTGCCATACCACCCAAAGGAAACCTTGGGGCTGCGATACTGCCAGGTTGCTCAAGCCTAGACAGAGGAAGTTGAGATGCAGAAATCAGGTTCGAACCACGGCTCTTTCGATCAGTAAATTCGGGCTCCAACCACTGAGCCATTAATAGGGGTCAAAAGAGAGAAATCGGATGGGCCGAAGCGATGAGGAAAGATATGGATGGGTTTACGAAACTTGATATTTGTACACGGTTAGCACGAATGACTGATGCCGCTATGGGCTGCGGCATCCAATGACTGGACATTGTTTTAGCCTGCAAATTCCTCTATTCTGTGGTCGAATTTCGCGCGCCAGCACACCAGTTCCGAACAAACCGTATGGATAACTTATACGTTCCCTTCGTGGTGTGGTTGGTCTTTCACACTTCGTTCTGCAAAGCGAACCTGCCGGACTGTCCTTGTGGAGTCAGTTGGCAAAGAATTGTCAGAAAAACCGTCTTGAAAGTTATTTTGTAGTCGACCGCCCATAGACAACATATGTATCAAAGAATTTCAAGGTCATACTCTCCACTTACCTTTCGAGGTCAGCAAATAGTGCACCGAAATTCAACCTAGACGTACGGGTACCAAAATTGATAACATGCAACAGGTTGACTCCAAAGAGGTAGAATTCAAGTTGAAATGCGAGATTAGTTTCAAAGACACTTGGTTCCAGACCATTGTTCACTTCTTACTGAAACCCCTGTGACCTAAGTAAAATGAGGTTGAGCCGGAAGTTGATTGTTTTGAGAAACCCTCCCTTACCGCCAGACATATTTCAGGATGGAAACTTTGTCTCCAGATTCGTCTACTAAAAAAACGCATACCAAACCCGAGAGATGCAGCGAATTTATGTACTGGTCAGTAACTCACGAACATTTCGGCTTATCGTCCTTTGTCTGCTTGGGCGATAAAACGGAGACCTTTTAGGGCAGCGACATACTCAAAACACCCATCAAGCAGACGACATCCGACTAGAGGATCCCTCCTGTGGAGCATTAAAACAAAATTCGGTGAAGTACCATCATCATCATCATCATCATCATCTGAAGTACACGAGGTAACAGATGATGCACCCGGAGAATAACCACAGGCTTGATAATGTCAATACCTCACCTAACACAGCATCGCGCACTTCGTTCGCACACTCCGATACCGATTGTCCAGTGAGGGCATAGATGCATAATTCGACTATTCCACATATTATCAACAACCTTGTTCCCTCGTTAGGTAACGCAAGAATCCAAAGTAATCAGTGTAATATGAGGACTTTTGAACTGCGGGGTACGTGTCAACATAAGTTTTGTCGGTGATATGATATATACTCTTGGGGATTTTCTCTACAATTCTCCGTCAAGCAAGGATCTGACTTTACAGCAGCTTGTGTATTTAAAAGAGTTCGATGCGTTACAAAAACGACAGGCATATGATACGAGGATGGACCCTGTTAAACCTCAGGACCAAATCCAGTATACCAACCAGAAACCACTTTTCTGGTACGGTTACTTTTCATTCCGGTGAATGGCATAATTAGAGGCTTTCATAGCCGAGGCCTTAGCCGAAACCTGAGGCAGCGAAACTTTATTTAGCGGAAAAAATTCTCCAGCAGTATCCTATGTGTCTCTATGCAGACTGCTCTAATCGGACCCCATTTTGGCCTTGTATGTAAATGAGCAAAGAACGTGAAATCCCACGACATCAGAACACTATAGTCCTACTCCGAATCTGACCGTTGATGAGCGACTTTGATTTTCGTACTGCTCAAGGCCATGAGCGGTCCTTTGGCGCCACAGCTGAAGCACAGAGCTCATTCCATAACACTCAAAGACTATTGGCATGGCAGAATGACTCGTAAATAACTCCAAAAGAGCTTCGCTTAAGGCGGAAGTGGAAGGAACCACGACAAACAGCCTACAACAATTCCTCTTGATGTACCAACTGACTCCAGATCCGTCCACACCGAAGGGCGAATCGCCTGCAGAGACACTACTCTACCGCACTGTTCGAAGCAACTTTGATCTTCTGAAGCCTCCAAAAGAGGAGGCGGCATTATCCAATTGCAAGCATGGTGAAAAGTAGAGGCATTTTGACGTCGGACAGAGCGTATTAGTAAAGCTCTATCATGTAATCGCGTATCCTGGCGTCAAGGCAAAATCACTCGGCGAATCGGAAATGTCATCTATGATGTTCGCCTGGGTTCCAAACGTGGGTTCGTCATGCAAATCCATTAAAAGAAGTTTATTCACAACGCATCCAGAGATTGGATGCGTTGCCTCTGAACATTTTGATAGAACACCTGGACACACCCGCTCCGAACGTAACGGGACTACATCACAGCCAATAGAATAACCGTTTTCGTTGAGACAGATTTCATTGGTTGTTCTTCACTCGTCCTTGACAGGTGAGTTGTGTTCTTAGTATCACCTTCGACCGCTTGTACGCGGCAGTGATCAATAGAGCAGCTGGCTCGCACGTTCATTGACTTTTCTTGTTTGACCAGGCGCACCAGGCGATCAAGCGGCTATCCAGACAGGGCTTCACGGTAACAAAAAGGCATTAAGGAGACTGTGATCCACAACAAATCCAACAGAAAATGAATATTTTGTGGTCCACAACAAATCCAACAAAAAATGAATATTGGTGCGACAGAGTTGTGTGGATTAGGACACATCAAAGTTGGACTGGCTCTGTAGATTTCGTTAGTGATTTTCAGTCATCCGTCGAGAAATGAGCTTTACGCAGCTACAACATGAGCTGTCGGTGCGTAGTTGCCAAACCATCCTGATGATGCATGATGGTTGAGGTGGTGTCAGGCTGCCCAAACCAAGATAAGAAGTGTCGAGATGACTGGATTGCTTTTGAACCACTGACATTCTGCTAAGCATGTCCGCGCCCTGACCAATGAGTCACCTGAAGCTCTTCGTGGAAAGTCGAGAACCAGGCCCACCTGGTGAGATTTCCGAAGGACTGAATCGGCAGTGGACCTTGAAAATCTTGCTGATTTGTGAGTGCTGACAGAAATATTGTCTTTTAAACTTTTGTCCGGTGACCAAGTGTGTATATCAAACCTAAACTGATAACAAAAAGTGCACCGTACTGGGAATCATGTGAATATCCATGACAAAGCTGATGAATTAATTTCAATATGCTACGCTGATGGTCAAGAACAAAAAACTTCGATTTCCCACACATCATTGCAGGACATGTATAGCAAACCGTAATAGAGTGTTGTGACAAAATTCGTGCACCATACTGTTCAGTTAAAATGCAAATTTTGTCGTAGAGTTGTTGCGGTAATCGTGAGAAGGACGGGGATGCGGGCAGACATAATTCCCTTGAATGCTCTTCAAGTTGAGTGTGGTTGTAGAAATCAGTAGAGTCAGCTAGAACATACGGAAATCATTAGATGTGTGATAGACCATATGAGGGACTGACACAGCTAACCACACTTATGTACATCACAGTTGATCAAAAACTTTTGTCTGCAGCCAACTGGTGCTTTCATTTCTACTCGAGTCAACTCCAACTGTAGTTCTGCCAATTACTCGTTACATGGCAAATATTGATTAAAATACTCCCAGTTTACTAGCTGTCGATAGTCAGATTCCTCCTGAGGATCACTGCCACAATTCCAACGATTCGTTTAATTCCCTGCAGTGACTCCATATTAATTTCAGTCGAGTGTATCCTCCTACATATCTCACTTGAGCAAGCAGTTAGCAACCGTGAGTCATTAGGTTGAACTGGGTCACGAATTCAAAATAACCTTGCAAACTGGAAATTCCGTAGCCTTGCCAACGGTGGACCATCGCTCCTGGTCAAGTTTACTCAGTTATCTGTGTTTTCTGCCACAAGATGCACGTTTACATCGAATTCCATCGTTTGTATTTGTCTAGTTCTGTGCCACTCACCAAATGAACACTATCCACTGCACTATACTCTGCATGCCTGAAGACAGGTGCCTAAGTACTGTCAACTTATGTATGATGAGCCCTGTTCCAATTCTGTGTTAATGGGAGTGCATGTATAGTAATTTCACCCAATTACATTCGCTCGGCCCACTGAGCACAATTCCATTTTCTTACATACTACTAGGAAAACAAGAGTAGTGAAAATTTAACGAGTGAAT